AATGAGAACCGCAGCAACGATAATCTGCTGCGTCCACATGTATGCACAAACGGCGACTCCGAAAAGGAAGAGAGAGAGCTGCAGAAGCGTGGAGAGGCCATCCAGAACCCGACGGAGATGCCATACCTCCAGAGCGTCAAGCTTCCTCTGCCTCTCCTTGCAGCGGTCCTCGAGCGTGCCTCGCTCGCCGACGCTGCTGTACCGGCTGAGCCATTGGATGCCCATCATGGCACCGAGAGCAGCAAAAAGGCTGCACGCGAGACTTGCGTAGAGAAGGGATTGGTACCAGATGATAGTGACTGCGGGCCGATCCGAGGTTGGGAGTGGGATGGCCTGGGGAGGCAAACCGGACGTGCTATTCAGAACGAGTAGAATATTCATGAGGAGAACCTGAGTGGTCTGATTGGGATCCGAACCAAGGTCAGATATCGTCATACTCGCCACCGTCGCAGTGACGGCAGTGAAGAGACCGGCCTTCAATCGAGCACTTTCAGTCTTTGAAAATGTCGCAGCGGCATGGCACTCACGAAGATCATGCAGGTATTCATGTCCTCCCGGTACCTGCTAAGGAACTCCAAATCGTACTCGTCGGCTTCTTTCTTATACGTATTCCAAAACCGACCCCAGCCGTCGACAATGTCTTGAGGTACGATAGTAGATCTCTTCAGAATCGCGAGAAGCTCTTGCATGAGTTGAATAGATTCCGGTGGTCTAGGGTTGTTTCGCCTGTATGAGTTGGTCATCGGTCAGGCTAAGACCGCGTTCAGTACGACGGTAAACGTACAAGTCGCGAACAGATGAGCTCCGAGGCTCCGGCTCCTCTTGAATACTTGCCATTGGGAGCGAGCTTGGAGTTGGGAGATGCAGTGAGAGGCGGCAAGTATGAGTGAGTCGTTGGATTCACTCACCTCGGTCTCTTCCAATTATACCATGGTCTCGCCAAGACCATGCAATGTGACATCCGTATGGGGATGTGCAGTGCCAATACATCGTGGCTTCCTCAAGTTGCAGATACGTACACGCAACCTACACGATCTTCGTTGAAGTTCTGGCCAAATTTGCGCCCGCGGCCAAATAACACCAAATACTGGCAAGCATACTAAGAACTGAGTAAATCCAACCAGCTAGTACTTACGCTAAATACATAGTTCAGGTTACATAGGTCATTAGTGTCTACGAAAGCGCAAAGACTTGTCAGTCAAAAATAACAAGTTCGGACGTTCCTACGTGACACCTACCTTCAAGAGTACCTACTCCGAGTCCTACGTTCCCTCGCTGTTCCGAGTCCGGCCCCTCCAGTTCGTCCTGAACATGTCCTGGATTTCTCTCTCGAACTTGTGATTATCCGAACGGGCGAGTCTAAACAGCCAAAATCTGCTGCGGTCGGCGAATGGATACGTGCACGCGAGGACTCTGTTCCGAGTTCGTGAGGTACTAACTTTTGTGGTGCGTGCCCCCCTTATCCCACAAGTCACCTTCTTCTACGCTGACTGTCTCGCCGAAGACACGGAGTTTACACGTTGAAGCCAAGAATAACAACACAAGTTCTGTAGTGATCCCGCACACGGCTTCCCAGCGGAGGTTCCTTTGTTTCTTCTGAAATCCTACTCCGTCGGAGTCCGAGCTCGCTCTCCCCAAATATGCTGTGTATACGCAGAAAAACGCCTCAAGATGACATGTGCGCAAGGTCGCTTTGCACAAAACCAGAGATCGTCGTGGTCCTCGCGAATGGACGGAGTCCGAGTCCGACGGACAGCATGCGGCGTCCTTTCGTCGATTCTCCTCGTGGAGTATATCAAACTCTTCATCTCCGGCGTCCGCGTACACGCCTTCCGTGCTTCTTCCTGTCTCCCATTCGAAGGTCAAACACGACCTGGACAGCCACTGCCACTGTCAGGCCGTGCTTCAACTTGAAGGCGAGGACTCCCTGCAGAAATCCGCCTAGACCATTTCCAGTTCCGCTGTCACATTCACTACAACCTGTACTGCATTCGTTTTGCGACGTACATTGATTCTGGGTACAGATACAAAAGAGCGTAGGCTAGGACAAGCAATCCTCGATATGACATAACAAAGTCAGAGAGCGACACAATATGTAATCCTACAAACACGTCAGTCGAATAAATATATTCTTTCTTTTCCTCACCTTCCCTTCCTCTGTCGGCCGGCTTCGCCAGCTCAAACTGCCACCACGACGCCTTCGCTCGGATTCCACTTGTACGGATGGTTCGGCTCCGCATACTGGTTCCCCAACACTGCCGTTTCACCCTCATACGCATAGCCCTCATCCGTACCCGAGCCTGTCAATCCAGACGAGGTCATCTTCACCATCGGCAGTGAGTCCAGCGGCTTGCTGTACCGCTTTTGGTACTGGTAGGACGATGACGAGTTGCTGAGGGCGATGGTTTGAGAAGGAGAGGAGCGTTGGTGTTGATGCTCGTGGGAGCTGAGGCCGAGGCGGGCTGTGATGAGTGCTTGAGAGATGCCCTACACGCGGTCAAAAACCGGACGTTAGTAGGATGTTTACTGCAGCTGAGGCCGAGGACATACGAAGAAGATCGGGATAATATCCAGCATCACGTAGCCGACGTCCAGATTGGTCTGAGAAGAGCGGTGTACAGTGAATAAGATGATGAACTGAAAGGGAGTCTAGATACGCACCGTGACATGACCCTCCGGCGCAAGGGAAGCGATCTCATAGATAAGCAGACCAATCCAAGTCACGGTGGCGGACTCGATGATGGCCCTCAAAACAGTAGCATACGACAGAGAACCGGAGGTAGCCTTGCCCTGCACATGACCATACCGACGGTTGATCCACCTAAAGAGATGGTGATGAGTGATGAGTGCAAGTACGGACGGGACGGGACAGCCGTACATGATCTTGGCCAGGATCCCGCCGGTCAGAACCGTGTTATTGAAGAACATGAACCAACCCCACGCGACGGTGATATTAAGCGTGACAGGGAGGAGTGTATTCTCGTAGAAGGGCCGGTTGAAATAGATCTCCAAATGTTGCGCATCCGCCGACCAACAAAGGACTGAAAGACATCGGTCAGTTGGAGAATCACCCAGGCGAGAATGTACGGCTTACAAGCGTTCATGACGACAGCGACTCCGGGAATGTACAGGGTCCAAGGCTTGCGGTCGAAAATGACGTGAAAACGCCACACCAACAGGCTGTCGGAGACGAGTCCCTTGACGAAAAGTCAGCACCTGTCAACGAAGAGGCATATATAGCGGTAAACGCACAGCAAACGTCGTCGTTACGCTGTTGAAGGGAGGTCAGACGAAGGAGACTTAGTGCGAGTGGCATCGAGACTTACTTCCCGACGACAGTCAGCGGGATATCCCACCTCAGAAGCTCGTGATCCGAGTCATCTTGGAGTCTTGCGCGGGCAAAGCCGAGAGAGCGAGTGATGAAATGAGCCAGGAGGTCGAGAAAGCTGCCAAACAATTAGCCTGAGTGAGCGACAAGGCAAAGAACGAGAACATACAGAATGATTGTGACCCATCTCAAACGCTTCGAGGCGACATTGATCTTCCGGTAGGTCGACCACACGGCGAGGATGAAGAGGACGAAGTACACGCCTGAGAGAAATATGAATACAACGAACGAGAGAGACAGTATAAAGAAGTGTACGCACCGAACAAGCCCGACAACGAAGCGATCACGATGGCAGATATCTCGAGGTTCTGCAACGTAGCCGCGCTCATCGTGTGGGTGACTTGCCTGTCGATTCAGGTCGTCATGGCTTCATTAAATACTTGCGAGGTACCCATGAGAAGGTGATCTGCAGGTGAATATGCATGAAAATCACCGTCAGTCCTTCGCATACCGATAAGACTGTTAAGAAGACCAATCCGTACCTAGCGTATCCCACTCCAATCAGTATCGCAGACAAGACGGAACACAGCTTTGCGCGGTCTTGATGTTGAATGCTCTGGTCAGACGAGCGGCCTCCTTCGTGGATCTGTGATGAACCACACCTACCCCGGGCTCCAATGATAGAAGAGAGGCTGGATTGCTGAAGTTCCTGTAAACACCCTCCGAAGTGACAGCTTGAAAGCCCGGGTGATCGAGTTTGAGATAAGAGGACAGGAACGTAGAATCCGTGTGAGGTCGACTTAGTGCCACAACGCCAGGACAAGACGAAAAAGGAAGCAATCCTTTTTCAATCTGTCATTGACGACCATAGCCCATCTACAGAATGTGTCAGAAGACTTTGCAATGATAAGGACAAGAGAATTACTTACCGTGCTCGGTACCGAGTGATCTCAAATGCGCCCGACATCTACTGAAACTCCATCCCATCATCCTTCAGCAGCATTCCTCCCAGCGGTCCAAGGTTCGCGTTCTCGTCCTGAGAAATGTAATACCGAGCGGCTCCATCAAAGTGAAGGCTGCGATCTTGAAGCCATTGAGTGCGCGAGAGTATTGGGGCGCGGAAGCTTTTACTGAGTCTTCCAAATTGCGGATACACAGGCGGATACGAGTGTATACCGTATGTCGTCCAAGGCGAATAGCACCTGATATAGTAGCGTTAGTCGGGACACCAAGACAGTTGGCATATGCACATACGGGCTGGGGTTGTCGAGGATCCTGATTGTTCGTGTACCGACGCCAACGCGCGTTATCGTGGGGTCAACCGCTGTGTCGTTCCTTTGCTTAACGGAGTTGAGAGGTTGTTGAGCGCAGTTGAGTGAAAAAGATAAGGATGACCGTGGAAGATGTGAGTGCAAGAACAAGGAGTTGCATCGGAGTGGCCGATGTCCGAGGCACGAATCAGGGCGCTCAAAGGGGCCACGCGAGGAGGAGGAGGAGGAGGGAATGGTGAATCATGATTCTGACCCTGTCCGCTGTAGTTGAGCTGTCCAAAGCTGCGAGAGCGACAATATAAACGGGCGGACCTTCCAACTCATAGTCGGATGCCATGGTGCAGTGGTGCTCTCTGAAGTTGCAGCCTAATCGTAATCTATAATATCTGTGGGAACTATATTCCCTGGTAGTATATCGGTTAGTACACGCGCCTGTCATAAGGAGTCAGCGCCTTGGACGATCGCGCGAAAGCGGGGTTCGACTCCCCGCCAGGGAGCAACAACTTTCTTTTTTCGCCGATTTTATGCACGCAGTCTGGTCAATCGGGCGACGAGCCGGGTTTGCAAACGAGAACGAAAACACGCGCATACGAGCTACACACCGACAAAAGCGAAAGTGAGTTTGGCACATAGCATGATAGAGCTTGACAAGTCGCTCGTGAACGATTTGCAGAATTCAAGCTCCAAGTGCGTACTGACTGACATCCATCACACAAAGAGATGTCGTTCAAAGATATTCATTAAGGTATGTATGTGGAGCATGCTGGACTGATAGATACAGCACAACTCGAGCTGCACAGCGACCCAAAGATGAACGCACGAGTCGGCGGATGATAAAGATCTACTCCTGGTGGTGGATATTCTTCTCGTCGTCAGAGCAGTCGTCCTCAGTACCAAAATGCTGATTAGGATAGCTGCTAGTGACCGCAGTCGGGGCCTGCGGATCAGCGGGAGGCCCGAAAGAGCCGTCAGCCTCCCGCTTCTCGACGTAGGTGTCGTCGTCGTAATCGTAATCGCCGCCGCCATCGTCGTCGTTATCGTTTGACTTATCTCCCGTCTTCTTCTTGGGTGACGATGAAGAAGGCTTGTTGGAGGTAGACGACGGCGACGGTGCGGATGACTTGCCCGTACTCTTTGCCTTAGCGGCAGGATGAGTTCCAGTAGACGTGGTGGGCGTGGTGGTGGCGGAGGAGGCCCTAGCCGTTGTATGGGCATGAGCGGGTGACGTGGTGTCCACGCTACCCATACGAGGCAGCGAGTGAGTCGCAGAGACAGCCGCAGCTTTGGTGGTGGTACTGGTTGCGTGTGTACTCGACTCCTTTTTGTGCTTTTCCCGCTTCTCGTGCTCGGATGACGAGAAGACGAGGTCAGCGACTGGGACGCCGCCAGGGATAGAGGTGGACGAGGTGGCGGGAGCACTCGAGGAATACGGAGTAGTGCTCGTGGTGGTAGGAGTAGCGATGGGTGAGCCAGTCACCAGAGTGAAGAGAAGGGCGACGATAGCGAAGGTGGAATACATGGTGAGTGGACGAATGGTGCGGGTGCGCAAGTGGTAGGATGCAGTTGCAAGCAACGGGGAATGGGTCCTTAGCTCGCAAAACGGTGGTCTACTTATGCGTTTTCGAGCCTAGGACCCCGGACCCCGAAAGACCGCTATGCATGAGGATGTACTTGACTTGGACATTGCGCGACGGAAGAGGCGGGAGGAGGAAGACACGCCGCTCTTCCGTTCGTCTTGATCCGGACAAACATCTGATTGCTGCGAGCCAAAGACACTGTGAGAGTAGCGTCATGACTGTAGAGTCATTGGCGAGATAGAGAGAGAAAGACTCACAAGTATCCCTTCAGTTGTCACGCCAATTGAACCCCGTGGCAGAGAAAGCCTTCGGAGGGAGGCAACGCGTCGGCGGTGATCAGTCCCGATCGAAACGGCAAAGCCTGTCCAACGGTGCAAAACCCAAATCAGATGCCACAACGTCGTGAGGAGAATCTGAGAATCATACAGGCCGAGGCTGGGTGAACGCGTGTGCTGGATGAGCACTGAGCATTTGCCAATTCAAACGCAAACAGGGTTAAGTAGTTGGCTTGAACGACACGTATTAGCTTATATCGCATTCTGTGATGATATGTGACGTACCTTTCGTTCATGAATATCCTCTGTTCACCGCAACGCATCCATTGAACCGCTTTAGTCAATTTCAAAGCCATAAAACGCGTCCAGTGAAGTCTTTTGCCTCGTTGTCTTCCGAGTCACGGCCGATAAGCTGGTCATCGGGTGAAAACGAATCACTGACGGATGCCAACAGCACAAGACTGGATGCCATTCCGTAGATAGTTTTGAGGTTACAGACCTC